ATTAAATTAAAATTTTCTACATTGTAGCTTTGCAGGATGAGAATTTCTACGCGATAAATCAATAATATCACCGACTGGGCTGGTAACAAGGTAATCTTTTTTTACAAATTGGAAAAATGTATGATTTTCCAGGATAAAAAATTAAATATTCAATTTTTTGGCATTATTGCACATTATTTTGTGATCAAGTCTAGAGTGACCTCTAATGGACATTTCACAATACTGCTTTTAGAACATCAAGGTAGATTGCATGTAAAAACCTCTATCCATTGAATATACATTTCATGTTATGCAACTTGCTTATCTGAAAAGCACTTTTCTTCCGTGACCAAAATTCAGTTGACTTCTGACATGAGCCCCGCAGAAGGAGCAGTTCTCAGGTGTAGGAATGTTTCATACCTGTCGTAAGAAAGATGGGTAAACTGACACTCCAGGGGATAAAGGAGTTTGTGTGACAGCCAAGTCCATAAAAAGTGATGACAATACCAGTCAGAGATGCCTGCCTCATTTGGCAAAGTTTCTTATCTGGCTTCTATTCAGTACTGAATTTCAAACCAATACCAAAACCTCTCATTCTGAAAACACAACCACAAACCTTTGTCTTGATAATTTTCCTACAAGCAGAAATGTACGTAGATACACTGATCGGCTTTCAAGAGGCTTCAGATACGATCTCTTAGAGCTTTATTTAGAACAACGGTTCATATGAGTCACTGAAATGTGTTTTGGAAACTCTATGAGCTGCTAGTGTTTAAAACAATTTTATGATGGGTAATTTTCACCAGTATAAGACTCAATATTTTACATACTGTAAGGATGACTTTATAAACCTTTTTTGAAAAGGCTTCACAATTAATTTAAAGGGATAATATGCCCTTCATGCAGAAGCTCTTACATTAATAGAATATGACAAACTAATTGATATCCACTGAAGTATGGTACAGCCACTTACATTAAGAGTATTTGCCTTTGAATGTGAGAAATATACTTAATTCAAGGAGGGTGGTTTTTGCTCAATTTCAGCCATTCACCAATGAGTTTGATCCTGATGGTGTGTGATATCAGCAGGACACACAGGTATGAATATTTGACTTTAAAATGTTCAGCAAAAGAATATGCTTATTGTGTGACTAAAGATATATGTAAATACCCATTTTATTATTACTATAGAAGGTTTTTAAAATGTCCCTCTGTGTGTAACATTTAATGTGACAACATGACTAGATCAGGCAAATCATTAAGCCTGCTTTTTTCACTTAGAAAGACAGCTCTGTTGATGAAAGGGCTATGTACAACACTACTGATGCGAGCATCTGACAGATGATTACTTCAAACATTCTATATTCTAGTAATCCAATAGCGTGTGTATTATGATGTGCTGTCCCTTTAAGAATATCAAAGGAATCTTGGGATTGCTGGCAAGTGCTACCAAACAGAAGCAGTGACCTCAGATGCTTCATATGTTTTCAGGATATTCTCTTAGCTTTTTATAAAAAACAACAGCTGTCGGCAATCCAACCTCCCCTCCCTGCTGACATGCCTTCCTCCCTAACAAAACCGACTGTTCATTCTCCATTCCCTGAGCTCCTCGCTATTAATTGTGGAAGGACTCTCACTCACTGCAGTGTCTTTGTACAGCAGGCTGAGTGTCTCAATGGGCTAGACATGTACTTATATTTATTTATAGACACTTGTATTCAACTTTCTCACCTTGACCAGTAGTAAGTAACATAAGCCTCATGCATGTCAATTAACAAATCTCACATCAACACAAAAAAGTGTGCTCTCAGTACATGCTGACATCTTAATTAAAAAGAATCCTGTGGCAAACACTGAAGGTGTTACTTTGGCTGCTACTGTTTACCTTTTTGCTGAAAGGGTGTCCCTGGAGGATCTCTTTGATGTGAGTATAGGGCATAAAGTTCCTCTCCTGTTCATCTTTTTTCTTCTCCTGGTATACAGTATCTGCTGCTTGGCTCAAGATCTGCCCAGGGAAAACAGGCAGCCCAGCCTCCTCAGGACTCTGTGAAAAGGGTTATTCTTGTTCTGAACCAGAAAGAGTACTGAGGTGTGATCTACTAAACCCCAAGAAGTCTTGCCCCAAATTCAGGGCTAGAAACTTCCATTGGGGAGCTGAATGCTGTCCTTGCAGACCAAATCTCCTTCTCTTCAAAAACCTGTCAGCTTCAGATTTATTTACACTTCAGGGATATAAACACATTTTACAAAAGCTCTGACATTGTTAAATGAAAGTTGTCTGATGCAAACTGAATTGCAATTATTTCTTATATACATAATCATTTATACACACTGCACCACCCTGAGAAACTACTGCTGCCAAGTTACCCCAATCAAGCCAAGTCAGTGGCGTTAAGTACAACCAGTAGCGCCACTCTAGCCTTTTTAAGGCTTTTAAATCAAATAGTTTTCACATTAAATCATATCTGAGCTAAAGCTTTTCAGAGCCATAAATTGTTATTTTTCCCAAGAAAATATCTTAAAGGCTAACCGGTCACTGATAAAAAACGTCTTAATCTCAGGTTTTGGCATATGTTTGGCATTGATGACATCATTTCAGAGCTGAACAAACAAGACATTTTGTGCCTGGTGGAAATAAAGCAGAGGCAACATTTTTACAGTATTTAAGAAAAACTTTTCAAGAGCATAATATATTATGAGCAACTGCAGACATAAATAATTGGTACAGTTGGAATTCCAATGTCTTACTCTATCAGCATAAAAGCTTGTGTATCGTGGATTTATTATTCTTTACAAGAATCTCTGATGCATAGGATAGGAAAGCAGAGCTAATCTGAGCTTCCACAGAGGGAATGCAAGAAATTTAAAGGAATTATTTTAGACCCAGACATGGGTGCAGCATTAGTGAAAATAATTGTTTTTTTTCTGGAGATATGGAAGAGTGAAGCTGGCAAGTGTTAGCAGTTCGAGCAATATTTGAGATTCTTCACAGAACTTGAGAAACTGAAACGAGGAAGAAAATTCAGTTTTTCTGAAGATATCAGAGCAATGATAACATTGACCTTTTTATAGGATCAAACCTCCCCCCCCCAACACCATCACGTCTTTCATACCTGCAGAATCGCTAGGGAAATTATATCCAGAAAACTGCCACCAAAAAGGCTTTTTTTTGTAAAAAACAATATAAAAAGTCACTCAAGAATCTGAAGCATAATCTCTTAAGCCAATGGTAAAATCCTTTGGTATGCTTTTTTCTTTATGATTTCCCCAAAACAACTCCTCTCCCTAAAACCAAGGCGTGTTGGCAGCTGAAGGAATTCCAAACAAGAGCCATTGATAAACAAGATGCAAGAGAGACATCAATTCGAAACAGAACCTTCCTTCCTGTTCGGACTCTGCCCAACCAATGGATATTGACGCTATAAAATGAAGATGCTGCTTTACTTTTAAAAAAATCACTTTAAAAAACCAACTTTCCCCATCCAAAAAAAGCAAATAAATTGAGTAAATAGAGGTTGGGTTTTGTTTTTATTTTTGTATTGGTCAAACTCAAGCCCAGTTGAGCTGCTGGTTTCAATTAAAAAATGTTTTGTGATGCATACTGTCGGCCCTGTTCCAGCACACATTTGTGTAACTCTGTGCCACACAAAGAGGAAGGACCATGCACTGGTATATAGCTTAGGAAAAGTCAGTAGACCTCCAGCTACACTGATGATATAATCAATTATTTGCTTTTATATAGTGCTTTAACATCAAATATCCTCAACTATATGACATATAGGAGAGCACCCACTCATCCACCACTAAAGGGCTGCATACACTTGCATGAAACACAGCAGCTGTTACGTGTCCCTCTACACTGCGTGAGAGATGACTTCACTAGCAGAATTAAGTGGGAACTTCAGATGCCAGGCTGTGCAAGAGAAATGTAGCTAACTGGTCATTACAGCTAAAAGTCTTATTTAAAGGATGGCACCTCCTGCAACATAGTATACCATATTGTGACATGGTGCTCTTACAAAATTTGGTCCAGTGGGAAGAACAACACCAACTGGTCCACAAACCGCTCTCCCAGCAGCACTCTGGTATTTCTTGGAAATCTCCCATCCCAGAACTGATCAGATGCTGGTTCAGCTTTGCTTAGCTTGTAAGATCTGCCAAGATCAGGTTAGAAAGGGGTTATGCCCCCATCAGCACATCACGATCACATATTCAAAACAGTCATGATGATTTTAGATTATGAGTGACACTAAAGTTGAATTCAATGAAATACAGTAGCATAAACATGCATCCTATCATCCAGTGGCAATGAATCAGAGACCAATCTGAAAGAAGTCAACAACTGCGTATATTTGGTTCACTTGCTAACAGCTGACAACCAGATGTCTGAAACAAAAGGAGGAATAAAAATAGACATTAGTAGTTTAGGAACATTAAATATAGGAAAACTGTCATTTTGCCTAGCAAGAATAGTCTTCAATTATTCAATTATTAGTGCTAGGATATTGGTTATTTTATCAAATTCAAAAGGATACAGGGTCTCATTTAATTGCAGGCTCTGTAGAATATACTTATGACAATACTGTACTGTATATATTTTATATTTTCTAAATATGTAGTGCCACCTAGTGTTCAAAGGAACATTTCAGCTCAGATATTACAGTACATCAAAGGACTTGACTCTTCCTTAAAAGGGAAAATGCAAGACTTTTTTTTATCTGCCTGCACTGTCCACTAGGGACAAGGATCTTAAGTCCCATTTGATCCAGGCAGTGTCTGCAAACAGTTCTCTATCCACAGAGCTCTTTCCATTATCCTCTGGGCTTGTGAGGCATTCTCGTGCCAGGCCCTGATGATGAAGTTTAGGCAGGAGAGAGGAGTGCACAAGGCTCTTTCTTACTCCTTCCTCCACCGCCCCCCACCTCTCTCGTTGCCTTGTTCTCTGCTTGCTTTCAACCCTCCCTTTCTTCCTATCAGCACTCCTCCCCTCTCTCTCTCTCTCTCTCTTTCTCTCTCTCCCTCGCTCATTTGTCTGGAGCTCCCAGCATTCCAGCTGAAAGTTGTGCTTGTGGAAGTCGGATTTAGATGCTAGAGACCCAGTGACAGCAGTGCACAGCGAGAGCAAAACCACTGCAGCCTGACCCGCACAGCATCTCTGAAGTACGATTACGCTACAGAAGGCTGCTTACTGTCCAGGAGCCTGATTTAACAATATAACAGGTAAGGCTTTGAAATAAACATCTGTTGAATGAGCTAGGGATTCCAATATTGGAGTTTCTCTTTTTTGACCAGTGAGCTCTCTGTACACCAATATTTCAAATTTCACAAAATGTAGTGAAATTTGAACATAATTCTCCAAAAAAACTGATGCCACTTGATTGTCATTCTTATTTACAAAATAAGAAAAAGAAGAAGTTGTGTTCCTTGATAAGCATTATGTTACATAACTTTAAAAAACTGTTTCATCAAGGGGAAAACTGAGCAACACAGACTAAATTAGCTGAATGTGGTTTTCAACTGTTCTCTCTGTTGGAGGTTAGTGAACAGGTCTGATTTTAATTTGTTCCACTCCATTTTTCATAAGTTTTGTGTTTTTTCATAGCTTGGTCATCATAATCCTTGATTACATAATGTTTTTATTGTAAAATTGCCTGTGGAAATTTTCAGAAAGACTTAGCCAGCTTTTTTTTTTCCTCTCCAAGAACTGAATTTAAAACTCTGGCAGAGCTTATGTGGTCTGTGCAAAGAAATAGATGCCTATTCATATGACAGCTTAGAATGGTGTTTGCTTTTTCTTATGAGTTTTTTTTTGTACTTCATTTAATGATACTCTGCTGCATAAAGTTTCTTTATTTCATAGTTTTGTCAACAGTTGTACACTAAAGGTCAATTAATTTGATAAATACTTCATTATAAAAATTGTACTCCTTGGTAAAAATCCATATTGCACTATATTGTTGTTGTAGTTTTATAAGGTGACAGTCTTGAACAAGCCAAACAGAAGCTGAATGATACAACCATGTATTAGACATTACATCCAAACATTTGCTAAAACAGGTGCTTTCTTCCCATTTCTATTATAAATCTGGGTATTGAGCTTCATTAAGTTTAAGTGAGGTCCTTGTAAAAACTTGTTAATGACTAGTATTCTAGATCCTTTAAGAAGGTAAACTAAATGCTATTCATTAGCAACCTCTAAACAAGGCAAGCTCTCAGATTTGTTTAGATGATATTTAAGTGTTTTTTAAAAGAAGGGTTCAAAATAGACAGCTAAAGAAAATACACCAGTTTCCTGTGCTGAGCTGAAAAAACAAATAAAACACAGCATTCCCAAGACAGAGAAAGAAAGGGTCTGAATGGTGAGCACAAGAGGAGACTCACAAAAAAAACTAGTTACATTGAAAAGTTGTTTAGAAAACGCATGAATAAGAGGGTAAAAGCTGAAGAGTTACTATGGTGAACTTGCAACAGTGGCACAATCACACACAAAAGTGTGTAAAACTTCAGTGTGGGTTGAAAAGGGCAGCCTACCAATAGCTTTGAACTTCTCTTGTGAGAGGCGAGGTGATTTTATTCAGACTCCTAATATTAAAGGTGTGGTTAGAACAAAAAACAAGCCTGCGCTGATTTCCACGACTAGCACAGCACATTCACGTACAGGCTGTATGGTACAGTACATGATATAAACAGACTGCACAAATTCTAGTTCTGGTGGCTGTCTAATTGTCATGGAAGCAGAGTTTGCACCCAGGCAGATCTTAACCTGCAGAGAGAAAAGGATACTCCAACCAGCTGCAATGATTGACTTGTGTTTTGAACCTCTCCAGCTCAACTTTCCCTAGAGGTTAAAAATGTTTTATGAGCCTCAATAAGCATATGATCCTAAATAAATGATAAACCTTCACTGGAATAATGTTTACTTTGCTTTTGTTTTAAGGAACAAAACAAAAGCTATAGAAGTTTTCTGTATGATACACAAACTATGTAAAGCTTTAAGGACTTCTGGAGCAGTGCATTAGTCCCACTTTTCCAATTTCAATAATATTGAGGGATATTTTGTTATAAAACAACTTTTTACATTCTTTTTTAGTGGAACCTTGTTAATAAAGTGCAGAGTTTAAGGGTTTAGTAATTTTTTTTTTACATAAAGCAAACACTAATAAAGTTCTGTAAATGTTTACGTTCTCTTAACACTGGTCTCTCTGCATTGTTTGAACATATATTCTTGTTACAAAACTTTGATATAATCACATACACTTGAAATACATTTCTGCAAATACATTGTCCATATCACACACCACACAAATCTGTCTGCTCTTGATCAATAAGAAAGGTTGCAAGTGTGATCAACAAATCAATAGAGACAGAGGCACAGAGACTTTGCAGTATGTGCTGATGCAATAGGAGTGACTATTTAAAAAAAAAAACCTTTACTGCACATTGGAATGTAGTTTGTACTTGCATCCTCAAAAAATGTCAGAGCTGTTTTGTGTTTCACAGAACTGGTACTTTGAGCTGTGCATGTTCAATAAAGAAAAAACACAGGAGGTGAGGGGTTTTGATTATGACCGGAGCCCATTCTGTGTTATTCATCTTACATTTGTCCATGTAAAAGGGCTACAGTAGGCGCCTGCAGCGCCTGAACAAGCTCATACAAGTCACCTTCCCTTCACTGAGCTTTTTCATTGTTCAAAAAGGCCACAGGCTTGCTCTCAGAGATACTTAGTGGGCTAGTTTATTCACATGCTACTCCGGCAGCTGGAAAATGAATGAAAACAAGCAAATGTAAACACGTAGAGTGGTTTGTGCAAGTTCATGTGACAGTTTAACCACCCCCACTCTCCTCTCTATTCTTCTGCTTTGTTGCTGACATTGAATAAGTGGGTCCATAGCATTTGTCAAGGATTTTGTTCTTGAGGTATTGTGAAGCTGCCTCTCTGTCAACCCTGGGCTGTATAGGCAGACAGGTGCTTTTGCCTGTTGAAGGTAAATAACGTGCTAGGCTTCCCTTCATTACCTGTTAACCCCATCTCAGGCCTATGCAACACAACTTCATTATTATTTTTTTTATTTTTTGCTGTGACTGGGCTTGGGTGCCAGCCAGCTCATGATACCTGCTGCCTGACATACTGTAGATACAAAAAAGACTGCAGGAGCAGTTCGCATACAAAGCCCTCTCCTTTCCAGACACCGGGAGCTTTGCACATCTCAGGACTGGCTGACAGGCCACCATGCTGGAATTCATCCCACAAAGTGCACTATGCTAAGAGGTCAGTTAGCTACAGAGGCTTCTATTTGTGTTGTATGGTGCAGAGCAGCAGGAAGAAACATTCACTTAATTCTACTTACCAAGAAATTAGATTTTATTTCACTCCATCCAGCTTTATTCTTTGAAAATGGGAGGCTTTATACCTTATTCTCTACTCTTCTTACTTCGAGCAAGAAGTTCATAGTGGCTTTGCATTTGAAATACAGAAGGAAGCCCTGACTACTGAGTAGGCAGGCATAGCCTTGCCTTTCACCACATAGGTTTAAATAAAAATCTTGTTCCCTTTCCAGAAGATTGGCCTGGGAGAAATAACATGGAAAAATAAGTGGCCCGTATAATGGAACAAAAAATTATGAAGAGACAGCAATTTCAATCTAATTTCAAATCCTGGAATTATTGAGAGAGAGGCTGCCTTGATTTAATGACTAATGACTTACACATATCTGCAATTCCCATAACACAGTAAGGAACTTATGCTCTTAATGCAAGTCAGCAGAGGTTCACATTGGATTTTGTGAAGCTGCTCCTGGGTCTTTAATTAGCTTGGCCTGGAAGTTTCTTGACCAGATTAATAAACCTCGGATTTTTTTACACAGAAAACTAACAATGAAAAATTCCTTTCTGCTTTGTCTAACCTTCAGTAAAGGTCCCTGAAGCCTGACACCGCCCTGAAACATCTGAATAATCTTATGTTGACGGCATGAAGACTTTAAGATTTGCTTCAGAATCTTTCAAAGTTTCTGTTTAAAAAACAAGCATTGGGATGCACTTTACAGTATGCAAACACACATTTATGACCTAGTTTTGTTTTAGTGAATGCAAGCATTTTTGGGGATTTTTAGAGAATAAGAAACTTTCCGTAATACTGTATATTCTTCCTTATTGCATTTTTCAATATTTTGCTAAAAATAAAGAAGAGAAAAAAAAGAAAAACAAATGATTTGTAATGTAATAAATTCTAATAACTGGAACCGACCATGGGCAAATCTTAGAAAAACGGTTTCTGTTGATTGCTGTTTTAATTTTATTTTTATTTAAAAGATTAAGATCTTTATTTTTTCTGGATATGGAGTGAGGAATATGCAAGAACTGGATTCGAAGTATGTTTTTTTGAACACCGTAGACTTTTCAAAAGAAAATCCACCTTTCTTGCAGAAGCTGAACTTTAGTCTCCATTCTTTGGTTCTGAGGACATTTAATGTGGGAGTTTTCTGGTGTTCACCAAATAACAAGCTTGAGGGTGATGATTCCCAGTCAGAGGATCTCTGGGGAGCAGGAAGAGTTATTACATACCCTGATTATGTAAGTCATTTATGTTAAGGTCTTGAGCACGCATTCCAGTTCTTGACTGATTGCGTTTAAAAGCAGTGTGAGAGCAACAAAGCACTGGAACAAACTGCTGAGGCTGAGCCCAGGAGGCAGGAGTCTAAGAGATCAGATATGGACTCAGCTGTGTGGAAAACAAAGTGTCAGATATAGTAGCAGGAAAAGAGTACACATTTCTTGTTCCAAAAAAGACAGATTTAGATTCAGTAGTTCTATGATATTAAGACGTGAAATATTGCTGACCTGTCAATCTGATAAAAGAGCAGTAAATGTTTAACTCTGGGATGAAGCAAGTGCCAATAAAAGTCCTAGTATTAATCAGTATACAAAGACAGCTGCTGCAGCTCTTTCTACTAAACGGTTTCAGAGCTACAGAAAATACGCAGCCTTGGAAAGTATACAGCTGGAAGGTCAGAGTATTTCCTGAAAAATGTTAAGAGGGACCACTAATGTCACTGAAAGAGACCTTGTCCAGTTTTGTAACTTTACATTTACTCTGCTCTCCAGTGAGTTGCTATGAGTTTCCACTGCTAATTCCTATTTAATTTGCTTTACTAAGATCAAGTTGTACTTCAGTAGTGTACTTTTATTTATCCAGCTAGTAAACAGCTCTTCTCATTCAAGTATTACTGCAGATCCACAGCATAATTCATTGTTTGTAAAACATAAAACATAAGTGGTCCCGTTTTTACATGGATTATTAAGTATGTATTACCTGGTATTTTATATGAGAACTAAGGTCAGATGACAGGTAATAGTAAACATCAAAAGATTGGTTGGAGATTATTACTCACAAACACGCAACTTAATTATTGAACTACTTTGTTCTTTTAAAAGATTTTCTTTTTACTAATTATATTATAATGTGTGCGTTATTAATTTTCATGAAAAGACCAAACTTTACATTGTACTCAAGTAACTATTTACAGGAACAAAGCAGTGACCTAATCTAAGATGCTAATTGTGGATGATGAAAAGGTTTTCTCAAAATAAAGCAGCCCTGAGACACTTTGAGCATGATGAAGCAATTTACAGCTAGGTAAAGTCCAGACATGGAGAAGGCATGATGCATAGCAATCCAGCAACGGCCACAGCAACACAGAGTAAAAGGGTTTTATGGCACAATACGAGACATATCAAAATGTGCAAGAAAAAAATGTACAAAATGAATGACGGACTGTATGACAGACTTTATCAGGTAAGCAACATTCTAAGATGTGTTGTTTTCCAAGGCTAACTAACAAAGAGAAACAGTGGAAGTATCTGTACTGTGTATAAGAGTATTTTAATAACCTGTTGGGCAACTGGTAATTTCCAGGCTAACTCCCTAGCAGTGCTGACGCACTTACGTATAAAGCTGGGAGGACTAGAGTCCTCGGCATCAACTCCTCTTGGTCAGCAATGTAACAGTAATGTGCAGCAATGAAACTCATAGCCTCCTCCCTCCTCCCTCCCATGTCCCCCTCTCTTAATGAAACTCATAGCTGTCTCTGGACCTAGAGTCCTAACCTTTACTCTATGCTGGCCCAGGCCTAACAGTGATTAACCGCAGCTACTGACACCTGTTACACAAAGGATTCTCACCTCTCTCTCCTGGGACACTATGGCTGTGGGTAACACAAAAATAGCTGTCTATTGCCGAGTCACTAATACGGACAAGGTGCTGTAGGAACCAAGCCTTGCAAAGTGGTTCAAAATACTAGAATACAATTTTGCCATTGAAAGTTAAAAAAAGTTCAAATAAAAGCTTGTGAAGTTTGTCACGATGGTCTTTTGTTTGTGCACGAGTACCCTGTTGGCTAACTTTCAGGGTCTGTTTTGAAACGTGAATTCTGTATAGGAGGACAAAATGCTGGACTGCTTAACCTGCAATGGCTTTACAACAGTTAACATCCACAGGCCTGAGAGCAGCAGGGGGTGGTAAGTCTAGGAAAGAGCATGAGACTCATGGCAGAGGTAACAGGCACATAAATCTTCTCGGTGAAGTGTCTTGTGTGAGCCACGCAGAAGGTAAACAGGCGGGCTGTGCGGACTTAAGAGAATGTGTCTCGCTGACCGTTGGCCAAGCACAGCAGAGTGGACCCAGATGGGGAAGAGGCAGAAAAACATGGTATTGAGCAAGCACCCATCTCTCTGCCATTTTACTGGGAGAGGTGGACAGTGTCAGAGCAAAGCATGCTTTCCTTTTCATCCTTTTGTAGGATACCGTTCAAAACATTTACAATGATGAAATATTTCTGCTTCGTATAAAGACCCTCCCATCTTTATCTAAAGCCATGTTACTCACAGGTTTACCGAGAGTAATAAATATTGTTTGGTAAGCTATTCTTAATTTTCAATGATGCCACATTTCAGCTTATACTCATCTGCCTTAGCAAATGATAGTCAAGGTGTTTTAGTGAATAGACCAATACAACTGGACATCTAGTGTTCTTCAAGTTCAATTATCTGAGACTTATTATTGTCAAATGGCCCGTGTGTAATTTTTTTTCTGAGCTTTTATAACACACAACATTAACATCCACAGTATACTGACAAGAATAAACAAAAAAAAGGAAGTGGAATAACGGAATACAGTAACTTTTTGCCACTCCCCAATCCCAAACAGGTATTGCTCTTTATCCTATTTTAACGACCTTCTAATACAGTAAGGTTAAACATGTTAAATAAAAAATGGCAAGCAATTATGAAGAACAAAGAAATATGCAAGTTACTTGTCCCTCAGCTTTGACAATGAATGTCTCCACACTGCCTGTTTCATGGAATAAATCAACCCTGTCATTCACCTTATATTCTCATGAAATTTTATCATCTTACTAATTTCACAGTAGGTTTTCAAGAGCAAATGCTTAGTTCAATAAAAAATGGCAAAACCTAGTCAGAGGATACTACATTAATATACAAAAAATGCAGCCTGACAACAGCTGACCAGAACAGAGTTTTTTTCTGTTGCAAAACTATGAATCACAGGTTCTAAAAAGAGCTGTGTTTTTGGCCTGTTGTGGTGCTGTATCCTTCAGGGTTTGGCTGGCTGTACTAGGTTAGCTCTGCACAGCACTTGAAAGCCTCTGATTCTATGACAGAGCAATAAACAGCTGGAAAAAGACTAAAATAAATAGAAAAGCATCAAACTCTTCCAAGCCACAAACACAGCAAACAAGTAAGAGTAAAAAAAAAATATTTTTTCAAGTTCAGGACTCTTCCAAAACTGGATAGATGTATTCTGTGAATAGATCCATGTATTTTGCTAATTTTGCTTTCAATTTTCTTAGTTACTGCAACACCTGTACAAAACGATCATTGAATGAAGTAGTGTGCAATTGGGTTTGGAGAAGAAATCAATATTTTCAGTTTATTCCATGCTGAAAAAAAGAAGAAAGAGAACACAACATTTCGGCCGTGGAGCCTTCTTCAGGTGTCACCTGAAGAAGGCTCCACGGCCGAAACGTTTTGTTCTCTTTCTTCTTTTTTTCAGCATGGAATAAACCTATTACTTGTTCCTTTGCAGCCTACGCATGCTGACGCAGCTACCCACCTGAACTAATATTTTCAGTGCTTTGTGTGACATACTGTAGTTCGCCACTTGGTGAATTCCCTGAATTAATCAATGCTTCACGTGGTTCGTACTGTACATAAGCTCTTTCTATTACAGGTATAATGTTAATCCATGGGACGCCCAGTCTGGCTGTCTGCCTGTCTGTCTTGGTGCTGTCCTGTGCAGGCATGGTGCATGACCCATATAGAACTCACCACTCACAACCCGACCTGGAGCAATCCGAATACAAGGAGGAGCCCTACGCATCAGAACCCCAGCTGAAGGAGTACCACAAAGGCACCAGGTGAGCCCGGCTTTGCATCTCAAACCTTAAACTTTCCTTCTTAAAAACCTGCCTCTTTCCCAGACATTGAGATGTGTGCCACTAATCTCTTCGTGTAAAATGCCAACCAAATCTTTTTTGTAAGGTTCTTCCACACTGTTATTTTTTTTAAAAAGAAATGTTTAAGCACATTTACTCTGGTCAGCAAAATGACTTCCATGCTAGAGTACGAATGACCATGCTGTCGTACGTGTGTTCTTGTAGCTCATGGGCTGAGCCAAAGGGTTTGGGGTGCCAACGATGCTGCGATCCAGAAGAAGAAGCCCCTCAGAATGATCCCCCCTACCGGGTTGTCCCTCAAATCAACATCACCATCCTGAAAGGTAATTGGAAACGCCTACATCACCTCCAAACCCCACTATCCTGCCCACTTCACTAACCCCTGTGCTAATGCACAAATATTGGACAAATACAGCCTGGTAAGAATAGATGGGTACAGACAGGTACAGCATGAAGAGGACATGAGGATGACAAAGAACATTCAAAGAATGGTGATTAGGTATATAGAGCATGTTAATGTATGCCTTCCCCAAACCTGTTTTGGCTATAGAGAAAAGAAAAACTATCTCTCTTAAAGCATGGCCTTTTTCATTGGGTCTAGGCAGGAATCGATCCCGGGACCCTTGTAGTACTAGTGCCATGCTCAGAAACCCTGACCCACTCAATCTTCTATGTGGGGAGGCACATTTTCAATCTGGTAGAGCACAGTGCCGCAGTTTTAAAAGAGACAGAGGATCAATGGCATGCTCACTAGCAGTTTAACAGCCTGGTCAATCTTGTTTTTTTAGAGTTGAAACAACAAACAGGGAAAAGAGAATGTATTTACCGAAAGCTGTGTACTGAAGTGCACGCTGCTGCCCTGTGTCACTGTCATAACCACAGGAAGTACATCATAACTGTCAGGCTACTGTGGAAATCTCCACACTAATTTCCCAATGCATTCCAAGACAAGATCCAAGCAGAACAGGTTTTCCACTCTGTCCATAGAACAGAACAAAGTTCTAACAGGAGGACACAGGAAGTCTACTTGCTGGGGAGTAAACATGCGAGATGTGAGATGATTGGTTCTGAGGTCAGCTGGGAACTAAGGAAAGGAAACGGGACAGCAACTTTGGTCTGTGGCTTCAGTCTACACCCTGACATTAAAAACCCTCTCGAAATACTTGTGATTGCACTTCAACTGGTTAAGCCATACTTCTCCTGGCAGGATTAAATGGCTTCTTTTAAAGATGCGCTTAATGAATATAATTAAAAGCTGGGTAGCGACACATCAGCCACCAGACAATGCTGGAGGGAACATTCTAGACAAGTTTTCACCACATCATCCTGGCTTTGGAGTTGACTTAATCAATGGATGCTTCACATGACAAAAAGCACAAGCTATTTATACTACAGAGTTGAGAGAGTTTAAACGCATTGTAAGTCCACTAAAAAAAAAAAACAGTTGCAGCACAGCTTTGACAAGCATGTTTGAAATGTAACCTCTAAGAAACAACAGCAAAATGGCAAAAATGATCAATCTGAAGACCACATAAAATGCGCAGCCCACAAAAAAACTTACAGGTGATGTTGCTGATAAATTATTATTGAGTAATTTGTCAGTTCAAATCATTAAATCTAATTTGGTGTATAATTAAGTAACAATAGGAGATGTTATTTTCCACAAACTGAGGTGACTTGATAGGGAAATAGCTCTCAGCCATTAAGAGGTGCTGCAGCTGCTGGACTCACTGTTTGTCTGTTTCCCTAGGTGAAAAAGGGGACTGTGGACAGCGTGGTCCCTATGGCAGAGTGGGGAAGAACGGCAATCCAGGCCCGCGAGGCCCCACTGGACTGAAGGGCAGCAAGGGCACCATAGGGCTCCCAGGGGATCCCTGCAAAACCTACTACTCAGCCTTCTCTGTGGGTCGCAAGAAGGCCCTTCACAGCAATGAGTACTACCAGACGCTGGTCTTCGACACCGAGTTTGTCAACCTCTACAACCACTTCAACATGTTCACGGGCAAGTTCTACTGCTACGTGCCGGGCGTCTACTACTTCAGCCTGAACGTGCACACGTGGAACCAGAAGGAGACCTACATGCACATCATGAAGAACGAGAAGGAGATGGTCATCCTGTACGCCCAGCCCAGCGACCGCAGCATCATGCAGAGCCAGAGCCTCATGCTGGAGCTGGAGCAGAACGACGAGGTGTGGGTGCGGCTCTTCAAGGGCGAGAGGGAGAACGCCATATTCAGTGATGACTTCGACACCTACGTCACCTTCAGCGGCCACCTGATAAAGGCCAAGAGTGAGGGCTAGTCACAGCCCCAGGTGAGAGCTGTACCCTGCCAACCCTGCCAGCCTTCTGTCATGCTGCTGTGCCCAGAGGATACACTTAACAAGCCGGGAGGTTGGGCGTCTCTTCAGACTATCTGCTTATTTACTCAGCTATCGACTCCCTTGTAAAATATCACTCTTTATATTTACTCAAGACAAAACCAGATATTCCAAGTGGCTTTGGGAATGTGTTCCAGGGTGATTTTTCAAAGCTTCCCGTTTCGTTACTGAACTTGCTCCATCGAGTAAGGAATTGCTGGCCTGTTCCTCCTGGTTAGGGGAATTTACTCTACATGAAACCAATCCCCTTCTCTCCCCTCACCACTCATCTCCCCATCCACAAAAAAAAAAATCAAGAAACTCTTGCACTGGATCAAAATGTGTGGCATCAGGTGACCTGCTATTGTTTCAAAATGAAAAAAAAAGATGCAGTAGCTTTGTACTTACACATATTCAAAAGAAAGTGTAATTTGCTTCATTCAGCTGATGAAAAGAGCAATATGCCCATTTGGTAATGTTGAAATTTCAACAAAGACCATTTCTGTCTTTCAAATGAATGACAAGGGTCCTACCAGCATGAACGGAGAATGAGAATGCTAGGAGGAATCCTGTTGATTAGTTTCCTGCCAGCAGCACATTCTTATTCTATTGGTGTAATGTTCTTTGCCTGGACACAGTGCTGCTCTATAATAAAATCACTCAATGTTTTGTTTAAATTTACATGCCAATTTACTCATTTCTGCAGAAACAGATTAGTGTCCTTTAAGAAAATATGAGGGAAATTACACTTCATAAATCAGTACAATGAAGGGCATCCACATAGTCTAGACTCTGTAAGAACATCCTCTGCAGAACAGACATAAAATTTCTGAGGGACGCAAATTTGAAAATGTTATTTAATACGGTGCATAATATATTACATACCTTATCAGAGCGCCATGACATTTATACTGCTTTCTTTTGATATTCTTGTATCTGCTTGCATACTTGTGTTTGAGTAAGTTAAAAGCTATTTAAAGAGTACTTAGCCTTACTAACCACAGAACTGAACAGTATTTGGTCTGGAAAGGGAGACACCAAGCTGCAAATTAGCAACATGCACTTATTAATATTTTCCTTAGATTTATTTTTTTTAAAGAATAACTTATTTAAAACATATATGTGGAAAAACGAGACTTTCAATGTAGTAGAAAAGCCTGAGTTGAACAAAACCATTTAATATTTAATTGCAAACCTTCATCAGTGACCTTCTCCAAGGTCAGATGTGTTTCAGGTTATGGATTACAATCCTTAAGGCTTAAAATACTTTTCCTTTTGCAAGATATCTAATGCACCAATTTTCCTGACGAATGAACATGTTCAGTGCTGGTTCAATGATTAGCTTGTACTGGACCTCTTTTCAATATCTTGGGTGACCAGAGCCGTATATCATACCAGAAGGGAAAACGCTTCTCAGAATGGGAATTAATGGTTCTGCTTCATCCCCCTTTAAATTATTTATCCATAAATGGGGTCAACCAGAACTGAGGTGCCTAACCAATTTCATACCTACTACTGACACATTTTATACCCCTTGATACTTCTTACATAAGAATGGTGCTTTTCACTTTCCAAATAAAAGTTATTGCTCTTTATGGTGCTAAAAACGCAATCAGCTACAATCCCAATTTCATGAAGATAACTTCATTTTAATAAAAATACATTTGTATATTTGAAAAAAAAAACTTATAATGTTAAATTTGCTAAACATTATTGCATGTTTCATTTCTGTCAGTAGGTTGTGCCACATATAATTCAGAGTGCAAATGCAGATGGTAATTTAAAGCTTGGACAAATCTGTCAGCAACAGGCAGTCAGTAAAATGAGGTATAGCTGCATATTCCATCAGGCTTTTGTTCAAGGCAATACAATTTCCCTTTCCCTTAATGGCACTGTATCTGCACACTCTTAGAAGAACGTTTCGCAATGAAGATACTAAAGTGAGTCTTGATCCAAGTTAATGGCAATCAAAGACAATCAGAAATCTGACTGAGCAACCATGTGCAGATTATATAAACTCCATGCAGAGCAAACGAGATAATACTTAGCAGAAAAACAGAAGCTGTGAGAAAGGAAGATTTTATTGTCAACCACTGTAAATGCTATTTTCTTATATTTTTTTTATATTGGATTTCTCTTTTCCTGCTGGTCAGTTTGGAAGGATTTTTTACAACAAAAAATAATTTTGTATTTCATTTTATATACCGGTTAAAGCAGTATAATGTGATGCTTTATTAGAATCACCAATATTAAATTGTTAAACTTGCCAATGTGTGAATGTGTTTCAATTGTTTCCAGTTGCAGGTCTCAAGCTCTGAGGATGGTCCAAGACAAGGCATGCCAGCACTTTGCCTAGTTAACTAGTGTTTTGTCAGAAACTGCAAATATTATGTCGTGCTGAATAGTGAGTGCTTCCAAAAAGACTAAGCCAGGTTTCTGTCATAGAAGTGCGATTAAAACAGGCTGCTTGGAGCGCAAAGCACAGTGAGCTCATCGAGACTGCAAGTTAGGAAACGTACTGTTTAGTTGTGGGAGTGCCAAGAGACATTTAGCTGGAGAGAACCTAGTCAGTAGGCCATTCTCCTCTTCTTTAGCAAGTGTCAGCCTATCTGTCAATGAGATATTACAGTAGTTTACTTTGAAAGCCTTGCTGGCCTGTATACAGACTATCCTTACCATTATTGTAGAATTACTAGATCTCTAGTTTTCGAGTCACACCCCTAGACCTAGAATGGCATATTTAAAGAGCAAATGGTGGTGTTTTTATTAGAACCAGACACAGATGTTCAAGGTGTGTTCAGGACACCTGCAATAACATTTGATGTTACCTCAGCATATTAAATTATTGCTTTTTCCAAAGGAAACCATCCATCCATTTTCTAACCATTTTATTCAACATACCTGTTGGGTCGCAGAGGAGCCAGAGCCTATCAGGGCAAGCACTGGGCACAAGGCTGGATTCACCCTGAATAATAATAATAATAATAATAATAATGTTATAATTATCATTGACCCATCCTGGATGGGATGCCAGTCCATTGCAAGTATTCCTGAGTATTGCAGTAGAATGGGAATTTAGTTAAAGCTGTAGAAAAAGCATGTTTGACAGCACTGTTTAACCAAACTTGGGTGCGCAGATTTATCTTTCTCTTCAATACAATGATGGACAAATCTGCCAGTTCCAGGTTTTTGTTAATGGTTCTTTCTGTCTTAGCTCATTTTAGATAATTATATATCTGGTCAGAGCCAGCCTGCCACTTGGATATTAGCTTTGGTTTTGCCAGCCACCATCTATAATAATAATTCTTTACACTTATATAGCGCTTTTTCTGCTCCACTCAAAGCGCTTTACAGGTAATGGGGACTCCCCTCCACCACCATCAATGTGCAGCATCTACCTGGATGAAGCAACAGCAACCACAGTGTGCCAGAACGCTCACCACACATCAGCTATCAGTGTTGAGGAGAACAGTGTGATGAAGCCAGTTCACAGATGGGGATTATTAGGAGGCCATGATTGGTAAGGGCCAATGGGAAACTTGGCCAGGATGCCGGAATACACCCCTACTCTTTTCCAGAAACGCCCTGGGATTTTTAATGACCACAGAGAATCAAGACCTCAGTTTGACATCTCATCCGAAGGACGGCGCTTTTTTAGAGTATAGTGTCCCCGACGCTACACTGGAGCATTAGGACCCCAGGAGACCCCAGGGTGAGTGACCCTTCTGGTCTCACTAACATCTCTTCCAGCAGCAACCTTAGGTTTTCCCAGGAGGTCTCCCATCCAGGTACTGGCCAGGCTCACAGCTGCTGAGCTTCAGTGGGTTCTTGGTTGTGAGCGGCCATTGGGTCTGTCACGTGCAGCAGACCCAATCTTCCCAGAAGCTAATTAATCTCCCAAGGATGTCTTTGGACTGTGGGAGGAAAACGGCACCACACAAACATGGACATGAACCCAGGGCTCCAGTGCAGCAATGTTAACCAATGTGCCACCATCCACATCCCCAAAGGCAGCCATTGCAAAACCAATTGAATAGTAATTGTGAGCTGTACTGTGCATGCCAATGTCTGGCCCTCTTTTTAATGATTTAAATATTTTGAAGGAAATAAGCCATGCATACTTATGGAATTGAAAAGGCCAGGCAGCAGCAAAAATAAGCTGAAAGGATAGAAGGGATGGTTTGGGTATAGAACCCACTAGCAACCCAACAATCACACTGCACCAAATGAACGGAATTCATTTGCAATCTTTCTTAGGTTCAATTAAGTCAGAAAGGCCAAGAGACCAGCTGGAACAATAGCTGGCAGATATAGGAGTCAAGAAAGCCCGGACTGTGAAACACTAGGGTACAGATCACTAATTTGAATTGGGGATATGTCTGTGTCACATGCTCTTGGATAATGTTTTCCATCTCGGCATAAATGCGGCAGCAACTGATTTTTCTTTCTCAGTAAGCTCAGGGGGTGAGGAAAGAAATCCGTTCTGATGTTTTAACTTGTTGACGTTTTAACTTGCGGGCTCCAGTAATCTGTAGAGATGGTCCTCTCTGGGGCTTGGACTCATTATATAGCTTTTACACACTTCTAAGCTTTAGCCCACTATATTTTGAGCAGGTCTGTAAATGTACTGTGGATTTTTTTAACAACCTCAGAAGCCAAAGCAAGCCAGCAGGTGCCAAACAAAATCAAGAAATTAATATTTTGCAGATAGGCCAACTAATCCCTACTCCACCATCAGCTGCTTTCACCCTGTTCACCGATACTTGGGGAATCCCAGTTTTAGGCAGCTATTGGCATTGAAAAACCAGGTTTTAACGTACAAAGTCTGGGCCATAAAGCTCCAGGTGAGATTGAGACAAGTGAAGTTTGGTACAATTTAATTGTGGGTTAAGATTTCAAAGCAGACTTGTTAGGAGATTATTATCAGACATTCTAATCAGAGATGGGTGAATACTTTCAAAGCCACACTATGTAACAAAACAGAAAAAAGGCAAAGAGTTGTTAATATTGTAACGACCGCGGGGTTCGGTACGGAATGGAGCAGGCGTAAGACTCAGGAAAAGGCGTTAAACACATGTATTAAACAGAACCGAGGAAAGGTACACACAAGGAGAATGGGGAGTTACAACTCCAGACCTATACTAACACAGACACGGAAGGGAAGAAGCCGGCTCATAGTCTCCGCATCCTTATATACAGTCCCGCCCCTTTCCCACAAGTCCCGCCCCTCAGGCGCTGTTCCCAGCCCACCTTGCGTGCGCATGGCTGAAGGGGACGGACGGAGAAGCCGAACCTAGTCAGGAAACCAATTTACAACTCATCTCTTTTAGCATTTCAGTTAAAATTCAAAGAAGGTTTTCCAGGAAATCTTCATGGTATATTAATTTCAAAGGTTTGCGGCCATAAATTGAATGCCTGATTTGGAGACCTGAAAACGAACCGGTCTACATCCGAGAACTAATGATCCTTAATCAAGAAAAGAAAAAAAAAACATATTTTATCAAGCCCAATACTACAAATACAAATCAATAGATTCCTTTAAGTTCAGACATTAACATTAGACACTGTTCTTTACGTTAACACGTATTTGTCCTTACTTAATTCTATATTTCGGTCCGCTATTTCTGGATTTGTACCTGAGCGCTGAACCGGCCAAGCTCCCCGGTCCCCGTGTGACTAAAACAAGTGCAGCGATTCGCTAGGTTATGGAGACCTCCTCGCCAGGCAGCCAATCTGAAGCAATTAGGAAGTGTATTCCCATAAGCAGTCCGGTGTGTTTTGAAATAATTTGCAGTTCGGAATTATTGCTGCTCGTCGTTTGCAAAGTTTCCACCATGGAAAACGGAGGGAAGATTTCGCAGCCGAAAAGTGGCGCCCGAGAGAGAAAGAGGGGTGCGACAGAGAGAGCTGCCGATGCAGGAGTATTAAAGCTGCAGAGAAACGAAAGGACAAGGCAAGGATCGGAATCTCACACGAACTCCCTGACGTCGGGCCTCATTAAAACTTCACCTGCCGCGTCAAGTAGCACTTCATGCGTGTTTTAATCCACGCAGATGGATTACGTAGGCGATCGGTATTATCTCCAGTGTATAATGGCATAAGAATTGGACCTGGAAAAGATTTGCAGTAAGAATGTGAAACCAAACAAATGCTAAAGATTTAACTAGGGCTCTCGCGTATGTTGTCACATATAGATCATTTGGAAACTAAAATAATTTCTCAGCAACAGCACACGCTGCAATGAATTAGTGGGAATGGGATGCAGTTTTCTATTACAATCAGTAGTGCATCTCTGCTTTGCACACCGATCCATGTCCTACAGCTCTTAATAAGCGAGCACTCCCACCAGACATATCTGTACCGGTAATATTTTACTCAGCGAGGAAGAGTTAAGTTCTCGCAGCAGAGCAATATAAACCAGTATTGTTTTTAACAAAAAAATCTACACGAAAGAGTTAATGAGATTTATATCATTTAAAATATTTGAGCTTTAGAGTATTTTCAAATGAAACCTGTAATTCCATAGACGCACAGAAAGCTGGAGCTTCAACACCAAGAACAAAAAACATGTACAACGGTACACCACCTGGTGGAGCCTTTTCATTACGGGAACGACTTTGTACTCAATTAACTTGTTCAGCGAAATTCAGTTTTCCCATTGTGTCTCTCAACTCTCGCAGAAAAGGCAAACAGTAAAATATAAAATTAAATTAACACACTATTATTAACCAAATCTCTGCGGGCAACAAATCTAATAAGAAAATTAATTCTGAATTTAAAGTATCCAAGGGATCTGTTAGAGGTTTTTCTTTTGACTGGTTGTAATTTCACTTTTTCAGCATTAATAAGATAGGAGATAAACTTCAGTATAAAGAATCCTCAGGGATATTAATAGTACCCTGGGCACTATGCACTCAATGCTAATATAGTATAACTGTTGGACATTTTTGAATATGAAATAAATTTTGCTAACGACACGCTACAAGTGACAATTTCATATTTAATATTGATAGAGGTTTGTCGTTCAGAGTTAAAGCTTCACGTGTGCTACTATATTTTTCCTTGACGCATTTTTCTAGACGTCTTAAAGCAGGGGCACTCAGCTCACACCTTCCAGGTCTGGGATCCAACAGATTTACTTTGTTTCTCTACGTCCATAGCTGAAGGGCAGGGCTACATCTTGTCCAGTTGAACCTTACTTGGATCATTATAACCCTGCTCTTAGTCTTCATAAATTAAGAAGACTTAGAAAACCTGCCGTTGTCTGGACCTCTAGTTGAAATCTTGTGGTCTACACCTAGACACTGAGCGGTGGACCTCTTCTGCCCCCTACTGTATTTCGAAGGTACTTAGTTTACCCTCTGAAATATACAGTACCATACGGTGCGTTATTTCCATTTTAGTATGAGCCGATGTTACTTCCAGTACGGGCAATTGTGTTTTTGGTTACTAGTCTTTTTCCCCCCCTAGTATGGAGTCTTCCTTGGAAATGCAGGTCGTGTCTGAAGTTGTCCAGTACGAAATATCATCACCTCTGTCAGGTACTTTTACTGTCTGTAAATAATTCTATGATCAACAAAAACATTTTGAGACCAGTGTTCTGAGGTGCACTAAATTTTCCCCTTCAGAAAGTCATGTGATCAGAAGTTTTATCAAATGTTTTTAAGACTTGTTTATCCTAATAATTTTAAATGTTTTGCTTCCTGGGGGATTTGGACAACAATTCCAGTAAGATTAACTTAGTTTTTTAAAGAAATATCTTCATGGTTTTATTCTCTTGGTGAATTACATTAGAAGATCTGATCATTTTCTTTATTTTGCTTGTAGTCTGCTGCGTGTTAGGGAAAGCTAATAATCTTAGTCCCCAGGACATTTACCCAGATATTCTGACTCTTCTTTTACAGCCAGACATTATGACCGAGACACCACAGAGCCAGTCAGCTTCAGCCTGAAGTCCCTGAATGAACTGTTGTCATGGGAACCTAGTGCTTCTGACCTTTTCAATGTGGCCACTGTCCCTCTGGCCTCTCGACTGCCTCCTCTGGCCAGTGGCCAGCCCAAGACACTGGTCTGTCACGACATGATGGGTGGCTATCTGGAGGACAGGTGTGTGTCTGATGTGGGAGGGAATACAGAACTAGTAAGCTCTATACTGGTGGGAGTTTTGCACAAAGGTTCAGTTAGCATTCATACCCCTGAACTGTCAGCTACTGAAGTGGACATTGGAGGCATTGAGTAACTACAGAATCTACTTTCTGAGAACAGAAGGAGGCCTTTATTTTTCTGTCTGCTATAAAAACAGTGATAGCCTGTGGTAAAACTCGCTCAGCTGCCTGGTTGAGCAGGAAAAGGTCTGTTCTAAAATGAACAAACCAAGCGTTCATTTTTCTGATTACATTTTTTATTGATTTTCTTCCTCCACAACATCGCCGTAGAATTAGTCAACAATTGGTTGCATACAACAGTCGTACAATGACGAACGGGGAAAATATGTAGGTTGAAATGTAATGGTACATGAAAAACAAAGTAATAAGAACAGCTTTGTTCTTATTTTGTTTTAAGCGCCAGAATAAAAACACTGGGAAAGGGAGAGAAAAATAATCAAAGGTGAAGAGGTGTACAGTATGTGTGTAGGGGAAGCAGTACAACACTTCTGAATCTCCAGTGGTTTGTCACCTTCCACATCTTCCTTTTTTGTGCTTTGATTTCTAGAAAGCCTCTAGATTTCTAAATTTCTAAATTGTGGGAGTATGGAACAAGTTGCCCATGTTGTTGAAGCACAGAATGCTGATCGTTCTGTGTTAAAACTTGAGTATTAATGTGGGTAATAGTACAGCTTTTGTACGGTACATTTTTGGCTGTGCATAATGTATAGTTGCAGTATGTGGATTTTCCAGTAACTGTTTGATTTGCTAGGTAGCCAAGATAGATGGAGTGTTGAAGAGATTTCAAGTAGACGAGTCAAAATTTATTCAATTAAAGTGTCCATTTGTGTCACTGTTCTGTCACCCGATCCTGTCCTTGTATCACAGGTTTATCCAGGGTGCAGAAGCTGAGACAGTCTATGCCTTTTATCATTGGGAATACATCGACATCTTCGTCTACTTCAGCCACTACCCGGTCACCATCCCTCCTGTGTCCTGGACCAATGCTGCCCACAAACATGGTGTCTCTGTCCTTGGTGAGCAATTGGAAGTTGAATTGCATTCTTTGGCAGATTTTGGCCAATCTGGGTATCGTTTGAGAAGTGTGCATAGCCGATTTTTGTCATCACCTGTCTGTGTGTATGGTTTCTCTGGCATACAAGTCCTGTTTAGCTTAGAGCTGTTCAACATGTACTCCCTAAGGTAACTCGATTGCTTTGGAAATATTAAATATTCAAGGGGGATTGTAATGGATTGGAAGTGGCCTTTACATCGGGCGGCACTGATATTGGTTGTTTTTTGCTCAGATTTTAAAAGCTACTGCTTTGGCTTGTCAGGGTTTCTTTTCATTTAGCAAAGGCTGTTTGCCAGAGCCTAACCAAGCATGCAAGTCCTGCACACAAGACATTGATTGAAACTGATTCCAGGGCAATTGTTTGAGTCTTTGTCTTTCAGGTACTTTCATCACTGAGTGGGATGATGGGAGCAAGATATGCGAGACCTTCTTGGCTGGAGAGGAGCCTTACCGCTCAGTAGCCGACAAACTGGTGCAGATTGCACACCACTACGGCTTTGATGGCTGGCTGATCAACATAGAGAACCCTCTGAGTGTGAGTGGCCAAGTCTGAGAGTCTTCTCCGCAAAAAACAAAAACACAGGGTGATGCCTTAAGTCAGTCTTAAGGACCTCACGGTCAGATTGCTGAAACACTTCAGAATTCACCACTAATGAATCCACTTCCAAGAATCCTTGTACTTCTTCCTCTTTTCTCATTCTGTTGGGCGTTGTGAAAATATTGCCCTTTTTTCCCCCTGATGCACTGACGTGTGACAGGGACAGCGTGACAGACTCCCTCTGGTGTTTGTCTGCAGGAGACCGCGGTGAAGAACACCCCTGCTTTCCTGCGCTACCTCACTGATCAGATGCATCAGCGAGTGGAGGGCAGTGTGGTGCTGTGGTACGACAGCGTGCTGCAGAACGGGGAGCTCAAGTGGCAGAATGAGCTCAATGATCAGAACAGGCACGTTTTCAATGCCATCGACGATCTTTACATGAACGTACAACCCACCTTGCTTTGAAAAATAACTTTGCTACTGTTATTATTTGACATCATTATCTTAGGCACACAAATCTACTGAAAACAAAATTGAACTGAAGTCCTAGTACCTAAATGGAAGACGTAGTGGACGTAGATTGCCTCTTTTCATTTACCTTCTAGCTTTCAAATGACTTAGATGGCCTTAAAATCTCTCTTGCTTCTAACCTTTATGTTCTAACAGTTCCTAATCACTAGTTTTAATTTCTGGTCTTAATTATACAGTTTATAGAGGAATAAAACCCTCATAATATTGTGTACTTCGTCACTCCTTAATCACAGGTCATCATGAGCTGTGGTCTCTATCTGTGTCTGAAGGGTGTTTTTCCAGTCATGTGATGGCATCTTCACCAACTACAACTGGAGCGAGTCAAACCTGGAGGCAATGGTATCCCGTGATGCCAAGCAGATGGCCAACATCTACGTGGGAGTAGACGTGTTTGCACGAGGAGAGGTGGTTGGCGGGAAGTTTGAAACAAACCAGGTTGGTACTTAGCTGACGCCCTCACCATTCGTACCAACACTAACACTAGGGCCAAAACTAAAAAAAAAAGCATAAGAATATTGTATTTTGGGTATAAAATATACAACAAAATAACTAAGTCATTGCTGGATGAAGCATTCAGGTCCTATTTTTCTCTTGGTCCCTATAACATCAAAGGGAGGGTGTAAATGCAAGCCGCGAGGTCAGTGTCTTGCATGGCCATCATCAACGTCAATGCCTGTAAGGCATCTGTGCCGCTTAGAGGCTGCCACACTGATGTGTTCTAGCTGTTGCAGCGGCTGTCTGAAGGCATTTGGCAAGGCTTGCCATTCAGCAGGTTAAATCACCTTCTTATCTGTGCCCATCGCAAAATCTCTCACTAACGAAGTGATTTAGTCATAAAAGCACCATGTAACTCAAGTGTCACCCTCAGTCATGAAACATCAATTACTCAAGAACCTTTTATCGATATCTAAAATCTGTAGATTTTATTTTTCTAAAACAACATGCATGCATTCCCATAATACAATAGTGGGATACTTTTGGCATCCTAACAACACCACGTGCTAGACCTTCACAGTCTGTGTACTTTCCTAATTCCACCCTCCATATAGCTTAGGGAGATGAAGGAATCCCCCTGGGTGTATTCAGGCACAGGCCCAAGCAGTATTATTAGTTTTCAGTCAATGTTCTAACAGCCCCGAAGCACTAATTCTGTTGCACACACTCTGCACAGTTCTGTGGGGCAACTGAATTATAAAGCGCTACACTTCACCTGCTTTCTTGTGTGTCTTCCAGGCCCTCAGGCTGATCAGGAAACACGGTTTCTCAGCTGCCATCTTTGCTCCGGGGTGGGTGTACGAGTGTCATGAGAAGAAAGAGTTTCGGCAGAATCAGGACAAGTAAGACCTGCCCTCCAGGACAGCTGTCCTCTCCTTGTCCCTACAGGAGCAACTGGTCTTTTGCCAATGCATGGAGTTACCACAGCCTAGCGAAAAGACTGAAATCCACTTGAGAGTGCAGCGTCTGCTTTGTGGCTAGATATCAATGATCCCCGCATTACCTGCTTTGAAGAAAGACAGAATTTATGTCCGCAGTAAATCACTTTTCCCATAAAGGGAAAAAAAAATCCAGTGCCGGGATTATACAATTTTCTATTGCTTTTTAGTATTTAAAGATTTTGTTTATAAGTTTAAGGCCAATAAAAGCACAACACAAAGGACAAAGTGCCTATAGTTTATACTTTAGGAAATGTAAACTATCAATAGCCAAGGTAAAAAGAAGCCTGTTTGAATCTTTTTTTACTGAAGACAGATTTATACTGTTCATCTTGGCACTAGGAATAAGACATAATCTCTTTATTTTCATTGCAAGGCTTGGAGTTCTGCCACTGAACCACTAGAATGAATAAGAAGCAATATAACATAAAATAAAGAAACGACAGGGTTTTTTTTATATAATGAAAGATATGTAATATGATTTAAAAAGCTTTTACTAGTGCGCAAAGTTTAAACATTGTTATAAATAAGAGATGAAAGTGGATTAGCGTTTCAGGGTAATTGACAGTAGTTGTTTGAAAACTCCAAGCAAAGCAGAAAAAAGTGCAAAATGGTTCAAAACAACATCAGCAGCTCTCTCTTTTCTTCATATTGACTTAGGCCCATTGAATTAAAACTTTGACCCACCCAACAATCATAAAATCCAAACCCAATAGTTCACAGAGGTTTTCATGAAGTATTGAAAAGTATCTGTCAGTCAGAAAACTGTTATTACAGGAATGCTTATTTATATAAAAATGAGAATGTTTACTCTTTGTGATTAGCGGGGTTATTTTTATCATTATGAGATTGAGTTGATAAACCATTGCATTGCATTGCATTCCTACTCTGCTTACACTGTTACATCACCTCAACTAATCTTTAAAAATTCTCTTTCAGTTGATAACATGTGTTGGGGAGCTGGGTCTCATTTGAAAATTACCACCTTTGCATACCAAAGGATAGAGGAAGAGATGACATACTGAGCCTCCCAGTTTTTTAAATAAAAGCTCATGTCCATATAAATCGTATCATATATTGTTTTGCTCTGTTGTTGTCCTCAGGTTTTGGGGCCTACTCTCCAAGTTCCTGCCCACTCATAGCGTCTCTCTCCTTCCCTTCGTCACCTCCTTCTGCCAAGGGTTTGGAAAGAGCTTTTTCTGCAAAGGAAAAGTAAGGACAGAACCCGTTTAACTGTCTGTCTGTTGACCTTCTAGGGCAGTTGTGAATAAAGATCCTAGAACTGGTCCTTGCTGGGCCTGCTCTGTGTATGTAATGATCGTGGGCACTACCTGCTCTGAGGAAATATATTGAAGATCTTTAGTTGTTTTGTATCAGTGTCCCCATGTCTGTTTGACACATCCAGCATTTGATTTTAGTAAATGAAAGGCTGGAAGGGGTTGGTTGGATTTGCTCCTTGCTTTTCTAAAGCATTTTCTCGTCTTTTTCAGCTTGTTAGGGTATGGTGGTGTTATGTCTCTGAATATGGTTACAGTGCCGCACAATGTTTTGCTCCAGACTATGAAGACCAAATTGACATTATGCACAGGAATGTCTGGGATGTTGTCATAGCAAGGGTGTAAAAGGTGATGTCACGCTGTGAAGAGCTTTCTTCAGCCTTTCCAGTGCAGTTCTGGTATGGGAGTCATAAAGACCAGAGAGTTGGAACTGCTAATGGCCCAGTAAAACACCAAAAAAATGCTTGTAAATGTTTAACTTCTGTCAAAGATTTTTTTGGAGTATTTTTAGAATCAAATTCTAACCAAACCAAAAGAATCTAGAACAACTGTGGTTGAATTAGTATGCTATAATGTCTCATTATCAGCATTATGAGTAGAATCCCTGTTAAGTAGTTTAAGTAGGTAGCTGTGTCAGCATGCATAGGCTGCAAAGGAACAAGTAAATGTTTATTCCATGCTGAAAAGAGAAGAAAATAAACACAGCGTTTCAGCTGTGGAGCCTTGTTTGGGTGTGGAAGGCCAAAGAAGGCTTCACAGCTGAAATGTGTTTCTTTTCTTCTCTTTTCAGCATGGAATAAACCTTTACTTGTTCCTTTGCAATCCCTGTTAAGACTTTAGAACCATTCCTTTTGTAATCTTTAGGTGTTAAAAACTGATTTGTTGGCTTGGATGTAGATTGTTGGGGTCTTTTTGTTTCTTTAGGTGGAGGAAGTGAAAAGCTGGTTTAATCTGAGTGCGCAGGAAGTGCAGCCCCTTTTCATTGATCACAGCTCAGACGACGAAGAGGGTGGCTGGGTGAGGACCCGAGGCTGTCCTGAAGATGCCTGGAATGGGGGAAGTTCCCTGTTGATTGAGGGGATGATTCCTTCCACACATTCTAATATAGCTGTGAGGTGTGTTCATCACGTTTTCTTTGCCAGAAATGAATTCTCTAGTGGATGCAGTAAGATCTCCTCCTGTAATGTTTGAACCCTTCAAGAATTCTTTGGGATAGAAAGAACTATACAAATAAAAACTATTCTTCTTTTTCTTCTTATGATTATTATTATAGCATACCCAAATCCGTCTGCTTCAGTTTAAAGGACAGTTTGTCTGTGTTTGGAAATCCTGAAGATCCACTACACAAAAGAACAAATTAAAAAAATGATTATTCTTACAACGTTCATGGAGAATGTAGATCCTTACGGCTAATGTTATCAGTGCAGATCTCGTTTCAGATTTTGCCGTTGTGGTGGGTGTAATAGCAGGGTATCTCAAGATTCAGAAGCAAACAAAATTTAATCTTCCTTTGCTAAACACTTTCTCTGCCAGAATGCATTTTATTCTGTTAGGGCTACACAGGGTTCTCAGTTAAGGGATTCTTTGGACTGCGTAGGTAGGATTTTAGTTCTGAAAATACATATATTTTAATGTTTCTGAAGTACAACTATTTAAACAGCCAGTACCAGGCTCTCTGTAAGTTTCTTAACATTTTGAAGCTGTCACATCCCATCTGTAAGGAGCTCTCTGGATTTCCTGGCAAAGTAGTGACTGTATGCTGCTAATGAGGGAGAAGATGGGAAATCTTAAATAGCTTGATGACTTAGTCCTGACTTGCCTGTTCATTGAAATCTGATAATGATCTTTATCTCATGCAGGCTGTTTTCTCTTCATTCTACAATTCCTACTAAGACGTTTGTCTCCTTTACCTACAAGCTAGAAGAATCTCCCAATGTTAAAGTTGCCTTGGAATTGAAAACCATTGATGCCCCTGTCTGTTTATACCAGGGAATCGAGGACGTACCTGGTATGTAAATAAGTCTGAGTCTATTTATAAGAACTGAACACCCTTTGTAAAGTGCAGGGATGGTTCCAGCAGTGTGTTTTGTGCCTTTGCCAGAAATCCTCTAAACACTTAAGCAGTGCTTTTGGAACACAAATATTTCTAGATATCCACCCTTGCGCACTCGAACATTTCTAGCACGTATTTGCATGATAAGCATATACTGTAAGTGCTTATAGATATGCAGTGCTAATAAGCATGTGGTATGAACTAGCCTGAAACTCCAAATACTAGACACAGAGTTAATCGAGACATTAGATTTTGACCTGAAAGTAAAGTTTTCAGAGAAAACAGAGACGTTATCAATGTGCAAATTAGTGTCCTGTGCCATGTGTGTTTGCAGGCACCAGCGTGCAGCCTCAGCCCCTGCAGGAGGGGGAGAGCTTGGTCAGCCAGTTCAGGCACCGCTGTGGGCTCAGGGACTCAGAGGGCTGGGTCACCCGGTAAGATGACCGCCGAATGAGGGGACACAGGTGGAAGGGAGTGAATTGTAAAAAAAGCCCAAGACAGCACACACAATCCAAGTCCAGACTAATAACGGTCTGAACCTGTGAACTTGTGATGCCTGGACCAAAAACGTACTCTAGCGAGCAACTTTAATGGGAGTCTGCACTCTTATTTTGACCAGGGGTGTTTTTCCAGGTGTTTTCTGGTGGAGTCGAAAGGCTGCTTGCTTCGGGACATCTTTATCAACGTGTCCCGTGAGATCTCAGGGGAGGAGGCCTACTTTGTCTGCAGAGTTGGAGAGATTAAGGTCAGCAGGCACTTTGTAAGGTCTAAGGATAATACAGCACTAGCTTAACCTCTAAACCATGAGGAGTGCTGATTCTTTTCCAGTGGGTTTGCACAGTTCTCTAGTTTTGGGGTTTTGTTCTTTTATCCTCATTTTCTTCCTGCATATTTTTGTTGAAATGCAGCTGCTAGCTCATTCCTGTGTTAGCATCTCAAACTGACTGGCAGTTCTTGCTATGAGCTGGGTTCCTAGAATGAAAATTTGAAGGAGGCAAGGTAACAGTTTCCAGTAGTATATGATCAAGGTTATTAAAGGAATATGAAATGAACAAGAGAGGAGGGGTGAAGTTTGTAAGCATTTTTTTCTGTAAAGGTGATATCATTCTTTTATGCCTCAATTCTGTCAAAAGCTGGATTTGAGAGTCCTGATCCTGCTAACTGGGGGACAAAATGTCAAAGAGCTTCCAAATCCAGAGCAGCAGGAAATATTCCTGTCTTTTAAACACAGGAATCAATCCTCTGTGCTCACAGCAGGCCTATTTCTACAGGAAGAAATGTGCACACAGTTTGGCCCACCTTTTCCGACCTAAGAGACTGGGCTTCAGAGTCAGAATAAGTCACAGGTGGGATGACTTCAGAGCTCTCAGTTTAGCCCACATCAAAAAGATCACATACAGCTCCTCTCTGACAAGTGAGAAGCAGCAAAGGAGTGGCAGGGAAAGAGTGTCCCTTTCTTTCTGCCGTAATCTGAACAAAAAGTTGAAAGAAAGAAAATATACAGTGCTAGGAAAAAAGGAACATGTACAAATGAAAGAAACCCGAAATATCTCTTCCCTCCATCACGTCCCAGGCCACTATACTGTTTAGACACTTTCAAAGGAACGCGATTTCTGGTCTTTCAAGGATATAAACAGAACTTGTGCTCAGCCATGTACTGTAGCTTACCTAGAGCATCACAGTCCTTTCTGTTTGTTCATGTCTGTTTGGAGAGTGTGTGGAGTCATTAATCCCCATTCAATAAAGCATCATGCCGTCATAAATCCTAAACTCTGTTTGTCCAAGTGATCTGGAAGCAGTTCTTTGTACTTCAGCGAATCACACAATTTGTCATTATCGGCCTTTGCTGCGAAACGGCAATGAAATCCGTCCGTGTCACCTGGCAACATCCCTGACCCACGGCACACCACGTGGTAAGAGTCACAGTAGTGGTTCTCCAGTGTGGTCCTATTGTTGTACAGGCACAAAGGCCTCTTTACATATACGTTGTCTGAAGACATTTAGAAAGGCAAATGTTTTTAAAAAGCCCAGTTAAAAAGAAATAAAATGCAAACATGGACATAAAATAAGAAGGTTGAGAGGTCAAAGGTTATAAGGCTACAAAAGAGAATATGGATAATGCAAATGTTCTCCAAGAGGTTGCATTCAAGTGTAATTCTGTGGTATTTTGGTGTCTATTGTTTTAGCCCAGTTGAGGAGGTCATTAGAGGGTTATTTCAAGCTCAACCCGCTTCGAACAGAGGCTTCCTGTTTCTCTTTCTCTGTTGCAGATTCTGGATGTTGAGAACCTGACTGCTATTCCTGCGCCTGTTCGGAACCCTTCCTTGAGTGAGGTAGTCTGGCGAAGGGGCGTTGGTAGCGGAGAGGGGTATGTCCAGAAGCTGTATTTCAATGCCACCCTGCATTGGCAATACCCTGCCAACCAGGCCAGACACTTCCGTGTCTACTGGAGGCGCCTTCACGACCCAAATACACAGGCATCCTCTGGACAGGAGCCGCAAGTCCTGATTGGAAGGGCCTATGCCACATTATACCGTGTAGTGGACTTGCCTGTGCCAGATGCTCGGGACACTGCCCCCTGCTGGCTGGAGTTTCTGGTGGAGCCCATCACCAGGGAGGGTTTTGCAGTATCTGAGTCACACTGGGGGAGACTGGTCTTGAAATACACTGAGCCAGCACGGGCAGAAACAGCCACAGGCGTGTAATAACAAAGGCCTCTGCGTACGCTTTTCACACACACCAGACAATGAAATATCAAAGTTATGAAGCAGAAAGTGAGACTCATATAGCCCTCACAGCAGTGTTTTCACTTCATAACAGGGATGGCTAGACCTGCTCCGTGAATAGCGAGCACTGTCTCGCCTTAAAAAAAATGCTATTGATGTATTTGATCAACAGGGAATTTATTAAGTCGAAAAGTTTGTCCAAAATTTTGTATGCTTTTTATTTGTCATGGAAAAAAACTTGTGCTCTTCAGGGAGTCATGAAAAGCAATTAAAGAAGTATTGCAGTTACAAACTGTTCTGTAGGATTTGTTCTGAATTCATCTTCTGCCCACTTTCCCGTTTTCACTCTCTGGTACTCGCCAGTGGTTGATACTCATTTCCGCAGGGATCACGTACCAAAGGCACTCAGAACAGAAACTGAGCCTAACTCAAAGCTAGGTGAACCGAAGTTAAGGAGTCTGGGAAATAAACGTTTAATTTTAGTATACAAGGAAAACACAAACTCGGATTCATTGTTCTGATCACATTAATTTAAGAGTTGGCATCATTTTAAGATTTTAAGAAAATCCAAGGTTTTCTTTTTTCAGAATAAAACATGAGGCTTTAGCTTCGGCTTGTACTGAATCTAGGGACTGATTTGTGAAGTGAATCTTAATAATCTTGGTAAATTTCTGTAAAATGTTGCATTCATTCCCATGATGTATTAGGTCATTAATGTGCTATTTAATTCTGCCCTTGTTATCATAACACAGCTTCTTTACTCTTATAGCATGTGGACTGTAAGAAAAGCCTGACAGGTTCCAAGGAATTGTTCCTGTAGTTTAAAAAATATTCTTTTAGTTGTATAATAATTGGATTCTTATGCATAACTAGTGTAACACCATGCTAGGATAACACTTTTTGCCAATCTGACATCCTGTGCCTGGCCTGACCAAACAAAATAAACAAAATAAGCAAAGAGCATAGCCTCCCTGGAGCTGTGTGGCTCTTAAAACCAGCATTTCTGATGCTGCTTAAATGGACTTGTGTGTGTGATTTGGGGTGGGTGGGTATGTGTGCGTGCAGAGCCCTTAAATTGTAGTGCAGTCTTGGCTCTTCTTCTCAGATTTAGTTGAATCAGGAGGCCTTTTGTGTGCTTTAAAATAACAAGATGGTTTTAATCAGGTTTGCCGCTTGTGGACACCAGAGGTTTCTGTTGTGTGCTTGTAATGGGAGCAGAGTTGTTATGCAATTCCAAGCACAGTGCATTTTGCTCCATCAACTAGGTACATTTGTAATATTAAGTATACAGTATTTATTCAGTTTTTGTATGCATACAGTGTATTCTTCATTAATAATTTATTGTGTTTGTACATTTTGTCAAAGAGCTTTACACAAAGGAACATATCCACTGAATCTAGGTGATGCACAGCAGCCTCAGTACACAACAGAATAATATCACTGTTCTTATAGCTCTTCAGGATCTTTAATGAAATTGTCAGGACTTCAGGTTACTCAAGGATAGCACAATGTCCCAGATCACCATTGGATATTTTGTGGTCATGGGGAAAGAGCACCACTTACTGGTCTCCAATCTCCTGGTGTCTAAGCCAGTATTAACCAGGCCCGACTTTGCTTAGCTTCTGAAATCTGATGGGGTCAAGCTACTAGCTCTTCTGTACTTTTTTGTTAATATACTAACTATATTCTCCTATATACCTATATAAATGTCACCTGCTGCGAATTTTGGAGAAGCTAATTTAGAGGTGATATTTCATCCTGGATTAACTTTTGACCCTCAGGTGAGGAACATTGTAAAATCATCATTCTTCTATCTCCGAAATATCCCCAGACTACCTCCCATGTTGTGTTTAACTGCAGCAGAAAAGCTGGTCAACACAATTGTCTTTTTTAAAATTGATTACTTCAAAACCCTGCTCAGTGGGGTATCTGCTGTAGTTCCACAATGAACAATCTCCAATATGGTCTGAATTCGGAAACCAAAATCCTGACCGGGATGCCTGGAAGCGATCAGATTACCCCTGTCTTTGCACTGGCTTCCTATCAGGTTTTGTGTTGACTTCAAAATCCTCATGCTCACCTACAGTTAAAGCCTCACACCTCGGTACCTATCTGACTATTGCTATACAGTATGTCCCCCAAGCTCTTTTACACTCTATGGGTGACAGGGCAGGGCCTTTTCCTGTTTTGCTCCAAAGCTCTGGAATTCTATCCCCAAGGATATCAGTCAGTCACCTTCCCTGAATGCATTGAAAACTAAACTCAAAAATGTCTTTCTTTTCAGAAAAGCTTTTATTTTATTTGTGTCTGTGTTGGCTGTATTGCCTAATCAGTATGTATCTCCTTCTCTACTTCACATCACTTGTTTCTCATATGCTTATTTTTGTAATTTTGTAACTTTTATTTTAAGTGTTTTTAAACTAACTGTAAAGGGCTTTGAGATGCTGCTTTTGTAGGTGCTATATAAAATAAAGAATACATTTTATTATATTTATTGTTATTACTCCCATTATTAAACCATTATTATTGTTTTAAATATGAGCTGTGATTCCTGCAGATATAAGATTGAAGTGAGTATTTATGGTTTTTTTTAATATATAAGGAGGACACTGAGAGCTTCACTTTTTACATTTGTTCAGCAGATCGTGAGATTTGAAACATCACTTCCTTAAGTGGTCAAGGGATATGCCTACAATAGTAGGGTTTTCATCTCAGGACTATACCACAGTGTCCACATGAGGGCAGGCTTGTCTGTGGCTCTTGGAGACAAACTGTCTCAAATGCGGAGCTTTTTCAACAAAGAATTTCACAATCTAGCATGAGCGCTGGATTTTATTGTTTGGAGAATGATTTCTCTTTTTAATATATGACTTACTCTACATCATTGATTAAATTGAGAAAAGATGGATAAGTAGGTCTAGCATCATAGTACAGTGCACATTAATTGTTGTCGATAGGAATACCTCCATTGAAAATAGTTTTCTTTTTAAAAGTTCTTCATATGAGGGATGCATATTTTCATTATTTTTGAACAGTAAACAAAGTAAAACCTTATTCTAAATTTTCATTTTTCTGCTTTTTAACTGCTATTTTTGTGCAGATATTTGATCTGCCCGTACAAGTTAATTACCTTTACAACTGAAAGATCATGAATCATAAATATGACTTCAACTTCCTAGATGTGAAGACTCTTACGTCAGTAGAAAAGTTTATGCTGGAGATCCTACTGTAGATATATTATTCACTGGTTACCCAAAGAGATGAAACACAGCATTCTGAAAAGGGAACAATGGAGTTTTTCCTAAAACATTTCTGATGCTAGGAAAGCTAACTGTTTATAGAAACTGAAAATGCATACATTTCTTTAGAGAGAGCTAGAAATAAATCAAAATGTCTTACAGAGTGTGCTCAAGAGAACAGAAAGATGACTAGAAACAACAATTAGTTCAGGTGACATACATGATCAAAGACAACCCCTTGCAGCCCAGTTGTTCAAGGAATTATAAAACATTGAAAAATGTACAACAGAATCAGCACTAAAATCTAAATGACCTCTCTTAGCTGAGTGACAGTGAAAAGCAGGTTTCCTTCTTGGTTTGAAACCCTGGGGTGCCTAGCATTGTGAAGTATAGCTATCAAGGTGCAAGATACATATTCTATACATGAAGGCCACCAGCAATATCAATTTTTAATTTGAAACGAACTTTGAATATGTTGCGGCATATTTATTAGCATATGCCGATATATTATAAATAATCTGTGTCTAAAGCCTACTGGCAATATTAATTTTTAATCTGGAATGTACTAAAATGTATCATGGCATTTTTTAAAATGTATTCCTGTAGATTTCATTTTCATTACGGTTTATTGTACATTAAAGATTGAACTCCAGCTGCTCAAAGAAAAAAGATGTGTGGGCCACAGGCTGACATCTGTACATGCAAAAGGTTTGCTGTTTTGAGACCTGTGTAAATACAAACGATTTGGTTTTCCACAGGATAATTCAAATTCTATAAATACATCTACAGAATTGCAGACACAATTGTAGGTAATTTGCATTGCAACATTTTTCTGCAATTTTAGAATTGTTTAGATGGTTATACTACATCTATTTGTCAATGACACATCTTTTAATTTTATTTTACACTCATCTTAGGAAGTGGTAGGTAAGACATTGAAATAAACAGTTTATTTCAGTTAACAATCATTTCAAGTACTAGGTGCCTGTATTTCTGTCTACAATTATTATAGCCTCATGTACAGTATATGTGAATGTCAGTATAGAACACTATCCAAAACAAACTGCTATACAGTACATATAATCCCTGTTCTAACTGCTTTATCCAGTACAGGGTCTCAGGGGAGCCTGTCCAGGCATGCAACAGGCACAAGGCAGGATATACCCTGGACAGGACACCAGTTAATCACAAGGCACACACAGACACACAAACACACCAGTTTCAGTCTTCCCAGAAGGCAGTTAACCTACCAGTATGTCTTTGGACTCCACACAGCACCCAGTAGTAATGTTATTTCCAACCCTGGTATTTGTGTTTTTAACACCTTGTTATGTATGGAATCTGAGGAGAGTCTGCAGATACCAAAGTTGCAGATAGATGTTACTCAAGCATTGAGACGAAGAGGGAGAAATGAACACTGCTCATGACTTTCAGCCAAGTGACCAATGAATCTGAAACTTGTAAGTAAGAAATACATACGTTGGCTATGTTATCATCTTGTAAACAGTGGAATTAAGGTTGTGGCACACTTATGTTATTTGTATTAGGATTATAAATCTGGTATACTACAGAAATGTCCTGTTGTTTGCAAGATTAAAAACTGCATCTTATGGTCCAGCCCTTAGAAAAGGAATATTAAGGATTTTGTCCCCCAGCCATACTGTTTGTGTACTACAGTAGGTTCCCGCTTCTGTCTTGGCCAAGAAGAAGGGAAGACATTCAAAATGCTTATAAAGCGTTTGGGTGATCTATGTCTGCGGCCAGACTGATCAAGACACATTTATGCTGGGGGAGCCTGGTGAAAGTGCTCATTTTATTGTTCTAACCTTGTAAAAAAAAAAAGGAAGAGAGCAAAAAAAAAATCCCTTTAGATTGAATTGCAAGCTTGGCTCCTTTTCTCGGATTTAGCTGAATTGGAGGCCTTTTGTGTGCTTTAAAATAACAAGATAGTTTTAATCAGGTTTGCTGCTTGCGGGCCCCAGAGGTTTCTGTTGTTTCGCTCGCGCTCTGATCTCCGCGAAGAACCATTACGCAATGCGAAGGGAAGCTCAGGAATAGAGCTTGCTGTAGAGCTGGCCGCTTGATGCTGCAAATTACTGTCTGAGCACTGCCTTTAATTATGCAGCGGCATGCAATATCGGTAAAATATTATATTTTATTGTGCATTTCTTCATATTAAAAGAAAATGAAAAACCATCCAGGGGCTCTTGAAGTGCAGATTGCTTAAGCTGTGTTTGTTGTGGAGTCTTCTGAGCAATTACTCAGGAAATGCCAATGTGTTCCGGCTTTGAGCACGCGACCTTTGACCTGCAGGGCCTGCGAATGTCTCCCTATAGTCAGCCACAGCAGCCCCTGTTCCCACTTACACTTGCCAAGACAATGGCAGTGTCGCCACTTGTTCTCAAGCAAAACACCATGAAAAAATAATCAGCTTCCTTCTTGGAAGTATTAAACATTAATACACATGCCTTAAACTCCCCAACGCCTCGAGGGAGTACACTTTTAAAGCCTTAAAAAAAAAAAGAACGATTAAAAGTTTTTTTTTGCACAAAATAATTAAATCACAAAATATGGGCATCGGGGGGATCAGTCTGTTTTGTCTTTTCCCTTATTAAAATCTTTAATAATCCACAGATTTGACTCTACCTTATCATCCGAATTAACAAAAGTTTACATTCTGAAATATTTTTTCGCCCTCTCACTGAGGGATCTCCAAGATCCTTTTTTGCATTTTTCTGTCTCATGCAATGATTCAGTTTTAATTGTCTTCTATTAGAGTTTAGGTGCCTAGGGAGTGAGGGGGTGACTCTCTGGTGACTAAATATCATAAAAACATTTATTACCTGTTACGCTGTGGTCACAGGCCTAGTGAGGGACTATAAGCATACAGTGGGGATGTGTAAAGAGGGTACTGTATGTACACTTCAATTTTTTAATGCAGCTTTTATGGGTGTTAAATTGCAAAATAGCCTTTTAATGTGTACAAGCTCCAGATGCCTTTGTCTGTCTACGCTTGGTCTTTTCTCTTGGGTTTTTAATATAGTTCATTAATTGGGACATTAAAGATTTATTAGGATTATTTCAGACATTCTTTTCTTTTGTAATTAAACTCTATCAAATGCAGCCCTATGAGCACCATGGCCATTCCACAGTCGTAGCATTTTTCCTTCCAAGAACAGATGCTGAAGTTCTGGTTTAATGGCGAAAGTTTCTAACTTAATTACACTAAATAATTAAAGAATTAAATACGCGAAGCAGCCCGCTGGCAAATGCCCATACTGTTCCAGTTAGCTGTCAGTGGGGTCTATTTTTTTCAAGTACGATGCTTTTAGGGCCCATCTAGAGAATTTTGAAACACTTCAAACTGAATATTGTTGTGCAATAACCCTACACATCCATGAAATTAGAAAGGAAAGGGTCTCCTGAGTGAGTCATGAAGTAGAAGTCTCCATCTGGGTTTTTCATGCTTGGGATTTGCTGGTTCGTATCCAAGCTGTGCCACTTGTCAGGCTATACAGCTCCTGAATGGAGATGCAAATGCTACCTGGGGTAGAGTAGAGGTTGAAGGGGGTTGTGGAGTTTTATGAATTTGTGGACAGAATGGTGGGCTTGTGATATACTACCAGTCCGTATTACATGCTCCATTTTAATTATTGTAACTTGGATCAAAAGGAGGAATGTATAGGCTCTGATGATCAATGACAAAGTCTTGGAAGCTTGTTTCTGCCAAATGAACATAATAACAGTTACAAACGAGAGGAAGCCATTCAGCCCAGTCAGCAATTTTCGTGGTTAATAAGACAGTGTTCTAATTTGTTGTTACACTAATCCTGGATTACCCAAGTCTACGTGTAACAGTCCACTGTTGGACAGGCGCTAGGTGGGTTGCAAGAAACTAGCAATGTCTGTGACGTGATTGAGCTAGAGTCCTTTTTACAGACATTGATCAGCTAGTAAAGCTCTGAATAACAGGAGCCCCAAAGAAAAGTGCCAGATTCTTCTACCCAGAAGAGCCCTTGAAGAAGAAGTACAGTGTCACACAGAGGACAGTACTCCAGGATGCGTGTCTGGATGCGTGTGGGCAATACGACCATGAGTGCCTCCTTTTTTGGATCGGGTTCTAGAGAGGTTCAGCAGAGCGTGGAGAAATGCTATGAGTTCAGTATCCCCTAGTCCCCCCCCCCCTCCCCTGCAGCTCTGACACCAGCCC